TAGATCTTTTGTTCAATCAATCAATCAATCAATGTGTATTTATATAGCCCAATATTACAAATGTTACATTTGTCTCAGTGGACATCAAAGTTTGTACAGAATATCAGTATGACAATACGACACCCTCTGTCCTTACACCCTCACATCGTACAAGGAAAAACTTCCGAAGAAAACCCAAAGTTTAATTGTTAAGCCCCAAGCCTGTTTTTCAGGTTTCAGGCTCGAAAATGACATTCCCAGAACAAATGACCATATCTTCCCTTCTAAAAGGGTTACATTAATAATCTTTTTTCTCAAAGTTATAATAAACCTGTGAGTTGGGTGTAGACGAGTCAGAATCTATATAGATGTTTTTTATTTTAACGAAAATTCAGATTGAACATGGTAAAAAACTGTAAATTATAGTGTCCGTCCAAAACATATGTTTGACTTATAGTGAAAACTAACCTTGGATGATGGGTTAGTAGACTAAAAGCTTTAGGAATCCAAAGTACAACATATAATAAGTACCCTGTATCAAGATTGATGCAAAACAAGTGATATTTGACCTTTTTAGACAGATTTAGCAAAAAAAAACCTCTTCTGGGGCCATTTGGGTGGATTTTCCTTATCTCTGGCCCCCCTTGCTCGATGTTGACATGTGACATCTCTTTCTGACCGTTAGAGCCAATAGAATCGAAGGGAAATCGTCCCGCACACACTCATGTTAAAAAAAGGTTGCATCTTTGCGCATGCAATCTTTCTGCAGAGCGTAGGAATATCCCTGCTCTGATATTTGAAAACGGAATTGCAGTTTTATTGCTTATAGATTATCAGAACATTTCAAAGGGGACACAGTCACATTTGATATTAACCTATGGATTAACTACAGCATCGTTTTTATCGTTTTAATGCAATTGAAGACCAGTTTTGACCAGACAAAACCAAGGTAAGCCATGTTAGCGTTTTAGGCTACCTAGAGCTACATGTTTTGATGTACGTTTTGTTGATGTACGTTTTTGTTGATAACGTCGCAAGTTTGTATCTTTCAGTGTTGAGGTGGGCACCGTTAGATTCTGTGTCTTTACGATCATAAACTATGTGTTGGATGTGCAGCTAGGATAAGTAATAAGGGAGCTAGGAGTGATTTTCGGCGCAGTAATAGGTTAGCATTTTTCGCTCAGGGCTAATTCAGAGGGTCAGTGTTAGCATTGTGTGTTTTTTTTGGGGAAAAAAAATGAAAAAGATCAGTTAAATTAGTTTTTTCCCGTTATATGGATATACAATATTCATAGTTTATTAAATATTAAGGTTCCTTAGACGTTGTTTCCTGCAAATGACGCGATTTTGGCCCCTGGAAAAATGGGAGCTACCTCAGGGAGAGCAACAGAGGGATCCCTCTCCCAGGACGGACAGACGTGCAATAGATGCCGTGTGTACATTGAAAAGATGATACATTTGCAACATAGGTCATGGGAGCCTGCCTGCAGACCTCCACTCTCAGGACAGTTCCGGTACAGGCTGCACTCTCAGGACACCTCCACTGTCACAGGAAGTGAAGATTCTGACGAACACGTTTTTTTCCCCGCCCACCGAAGGACTCGTTTGATGGCATTTTTCAAATCACAATGGAGACTCATCACGGAGGTGATGAGTCCGCCCACCGTGCACTTTGGGTCGGCCTTGGTCAAGCCCTTTTGACCCCCCCAGCCTGGTTCTCGTAAAAGTTTTTCGCTCAAATGACACCATGGAGGAATGTAACGGGAGTTGACAGGGGACACTGCCCGCCTCACGAGTGCCTATTTTCCCCCGGTTTTATTATTTATTATTTTTGGCTATTTCACCCGGTTTCTACCGGGGACATTGCCCCCGGTCTCGGGTGTCCCCCTCGGGTGTGTCCCCCCCCCCTCCGCGCCGGCCCGGCCTAGTGCCGGTGCTCTGGTGGTCGGTTCCTCCGAACTGCGGGTTCGACTCTGATGGCCGGGAGGGTGTGCTCATGGGTGTGCTGCGTTGGGGTGGGGGACTTCCCCCACTCTGCGTGTCTCTTCCTTCCCGGGCCGGCCGATATGAAGCGTGACCAAGACGCACCGTCCAGGGGTCCCGCAGCGAGGTGGAGGTTCCCAGCTGAACCTCCCCACCTCCGCCGCGTATATATATATATATATATATATTAGGGCTGTCAAGTTAACGCGTTAATAACGCGTTAACGCAAAAAAAAATTAACGCCACCAATTATTTTAACGCGATTAACGCATGTGTATTTTTTTTTCCTCGGCCGCCCCGTAGTTTGAGAGCGCATCGAGTTTAAAATACCATCTACAAGCTGATGCTGACAGCCCCGCTCCTGCCGCCCGCTTGTGGCAGACCACACTTCCACGCTCACCGGCAGGCACCGGCAGGCACCGACTGGCTGTTGGGAGGACCGGGAGGGTGTGTGTATGTGTGGCCCGAGCGAGCGAGAGAGAGACCTTACGTGCATTGTTGTTGTTAGCATCTGGTGCTAGCTAGCTGCGCTAACGGATATGGAGCTGTTTAAATGAAAACAGAGGAGCGACATTTCGCCACAACTGCGCCGAGCACTTTACTTTATGCAGGCAGCCAGACAGTGGGACATTGTACGAAAAGTGAGCACACTCAGCACGGATAGTGCGCAACATGATTGCAGCGTCCAGGCAGCTCCCGTTTGAGCATAGGCCTATGCCTTGAGTTGCACATAGCGCCAACGATCCATCACACACACACACACACACACACACACACACACACACACACACACACACACACACACACACACACACATACACACACACACACACACACACACACCATTTGTATTTTATTATTGTATGAGAGAGGTTCCAGGTTGAATTGAGGCGAATATTTGTAATGTTCAGAGGTTGTTGTGTTTAATATTCATGAGAATATTTGTCATTGTTCAAATGATAATAAACATTAGCATAAAGCATATTTGCCTACTCATATGTTGATAACAGTATTAAAAACTTGAAAAATATTCCTCTAAGGTACATTTAGAACAGATCAAAAATGTGCGATTAATTTGCGATTAATCGCGATTAACTATGGACAATCATGCGATTAATCGCGATTAAATATTTTAATCGACTGACAGCCCTAATATATATATATATATATAATATATATAATAATCACGGGGTTATATATTTATATGTATATATATATAGGGACACCTTGTATTGTAGTTAATATCAGTACAGTATCACTTTTCATCACTTAGATTGATTGAACTGTTCTGCCGGACTTCAGCGCGTATCCCTATGCGTAGCTAGACAGTTAGCTAACATTTAAAAGTCCTCCAATAAAGATGCAAGGTTTTCTTTCTTTTCTTTACTGTTCTTCTTTTACTTTGTAAAACTGTAACAATACAGAAATAAAACACATATAAGTATGCAGGCTTTACATAACATATAAGTAGCACTGTACAAACGACACACATACTACTATTAGGAATTAGCATCACTATTAGCTAGCACACGTCAGAATCGTCACTTCCTGTACTGACAGTGGAGGTGTCCTGAGAGTGGAGGTCTGCACCGGAACTGTCCTGAGAGTGGAGGTCTGCAGGCAGACCCCTCTCACATAGGTAGACCAAATGTGTTTGAAAATGCATGTGTCTCAATTGTTGAGGAACCTATGACCCAAGTTTGTCATCATTGCATAACTACACCGTAGTTGTGTATATGATATTTCAATAAACCTTTGAAAATCTTGAAATCTTGAAAGGGATGTGCAAAATAGCCATTATATACCGTTTTTGATGAACAATTAGAGAATAACAAGTAATGAATATGCTTTATAGGGATCTGCAGATACATTTGTTGTCTTCTCAAGCACCAACAATCAAATATCTCTCCTGATTGTTGGCACTTGACAATCACCTTCACTGAATTTTACTCAGGTGTAACTAAAGTCTGATTTAAGGGTTGTTTATATTTCACATCATTAATCCAAATCTGTAAAGTAATTAAAATAAATGTAGTAAAAATACCAGGTTAACCTAAAGAAAGCCCTCAGGATTCTAAAAGACCCCCATCACCCCAGCCACAAACTGTTCTGTCTGCTGCCGTCTGGCAGGCGGTAGGCCTACCGCAGCATCCGGACTAAAACCTCAGACTTCATCCCACAGGCCAGAAGACTATTAAACACCTGAACTTTAAATCAACATCCATAACATTCAACTGGCTGCTACTTAGAAAGGATTTGTCTAATATATCATATTCCAATCACTTGTATATAGACTCTTATTGCACTATTTAACTTTTTACTATTTTCCTATTTGTATTTACTTGCACTATTTTTTCTGTGTATCTGTTTTATTGTGTTGCACGGCTGGAGGAGCCTGTGACCTAAGGGGGGGGGGGGGGGGGGGGGGGGGGGGGGGGGTAGGACACGTTCGAGTCTTGATTTGGATAGTGTGCGATGGGTTTCAATCCATTTCATAGTGCTATTTGACGCCGCACTGCCACTCCAACATCCAATCACAGAGCTTGAGAACTAATCACGGGGTTTGTCAAACAGAGCACATGGTGTAGTCCTAAACGATAGCTGGGGATTCTGGGTAGTGTAGTGTCTTCTGCCATTCTAAACTCCGAAGAAATATTTGTTTCTCCGAATCGAAGGGGAAAAATACCTAAGCATTGCACACAATTTAAACTAATCAATGTTGTGTAATTAACAAGGATAATCTGGTGTTTTTTAGTCGATGAGTAGTGCAGATATCACTGTAAAATCAATCGACAGTAAGGGGAATCCTTACTTCCGGGTGTACAATTCTCCGTTATCCAATGGGAATGGACGCTCACATTGCCTTTAAATGCCGCCGACACAAATTAATGCCGTGCTTCCATGAGCGTCAAATCCCGCTGCAGATGAGAGCTATTTGCGTCCCTTTATGAAGCTGAAGGAGCCTTGGAACGTCACAACTGCACGCCACGGGACCCTGACCTGGCGTCGCTCCTGGACGTTTATGGAGTGAGAGTGTGTTGCTTTAACATGTTTATACTTTATTTGTTATAAACTTTGTTCATTGATTTTCGTACACAAATTAAACAGAGATGACAGGTTGTGATTGACAGGGTCACATTACAGTTGTGCAGATCACATAACATATGATACATTACAACAACAAGACAAACAGTCGGCTTGGTCACACAACAAAATACAAACAAACACATAACCTCATTCTCTTCAGGTAAGAATACAAATAAATAAAAATGTTTCATATAGACTATATATATATATATATATATATATATATATATAAAATAATAATAAATATATATATATATATATTTGGGTCTTATTCCGGAATATCCGGGAAGGTACATGTTTATACTTTAAGAGCGTGGTGGACATATAGGCTATAATCTGTCAGATGCTGTTCATTGAGTCTGAGGTGAACTAAGATAAAAAGCAACCACTTGATGGCAGTGTATCATATGTATCTACTCCGATTGAGTCTGTAACTTTATATCTTTAATATGAGGATAGGTTTTTATGTCAGTGGTTGATAATTACACTGTTATTAAAGTAGCACCTCATTGTAGCATATCAATTATTTTCCTAGAGTTGCAGTCACTATTTGTCACATTGAAACCACAGGTACAGCATGACCATCCACTTAAGACTTGAGTGCTTTTTATTTGTCATTGAATCATGAAACGTGTTGTTTTATGTTGAATAATGTTTCCTTCTATATGATTTTAGAATGTGCATTTTAGCCACATGCTGTGTTCACTTGTTTAGAGCGTGTTATAGAGATATTTAAATGCCCATCACCTTTCTGTGTGATATGTGTCTTACCTCATATTTATGATGGCAGTGTAACTGTTATTTGCCTTTATACATATCTGCTTTTCAAGCTATGTTTGAATGTTCGCCTTTTTTTAAATATGGATTCTTAAAAATAATTAAATAAATGCCTTTTGGAAGACTGTTATCACCCCCTGATGATGTTTTTATCTGTTTTAACGACCTTTTAGTGTCCTGAACCACAAACAAAACACCCATCATCAGATTTCCAGTGATGAACTTGCAGAAATGTGTGCAGTTTTGTGAACCTCCTGCTTCCAGGGGAACGTGACCTTTGCCCTTTTTAAAAGCTGCGGTCTCTTCCTGCTATTGTCCCATGTGTGGACGAACACCCCCTTTTCCTTTTTCTGCCTCCTTATCATTTAAACTGTTGAAAGTGACACATTCCAGATGGACAGCAATTGAAGTAAATGTAATAAAGACTGTGAGAAGGGAGATAACTAAGTGCAAGAGCAGCAAAATGTCTCCAAACATTCACGTACCGAAAGCTCGTTTCTGCTCTTTGTGATAAAGTGCAAGCTCAGGTTTTGCAGCTTACAACAACAGTAATGATTTATCTGTTGAAAATTAAACACAAGATGTTTATGAGGATTATCTGGCACGATCAGCTTTGTTTTCACACATTCCTGCTGTGGCACGGTTATTCTGTGCCAGGAGACCTTGGAGACTGCCATGAGTTCTGTGGGAGTTGAGCAGCTTTAAACAACAACAAAAAAAGCACTTCAAACATTTCCTGCCTTCCTCTGTGATCAGATACATGGTAAGAAAACAAAAACATAACAGGAAATGGATTATGAGAGTGAGGCTGTAACAAACATCACAATGAGTCTGACCAAAGAGATGATCTGATGATCTCCATTCAGTTCTGTCAAATCTTTATAGAAAACGTCTCGTGAAGTTTTCTCATCTCAGCTTCTTTTTATTTATGATCCAACATTGGACTGGCTGGTGCTGGCGTTACTTAACTTGCGTTGCTTCCCCGGGTCTCCCCCTCCTCCGTTGGGAGCGTTGGTCCCGGCTCCCAGCTGGTTCCCAGTTCCATCTCTGGGTAACTGGCTCAGCACGGTGTTGACCAGGTTGTCTCGGAAGCTCTTGCTGAGGAAGTTGTAGAGGATGGGGTTTGCCACGCAGTGAAAAAGAGACAGGCTGTGCACCACGCTGAACGAGAAGTACAGCACATCCATCGTGTTGCAGCTGAAGATGAAGGGGTCGATGTCATCCACGATCATCAGGAACCTGACGAAGTGGTAGGGCAACCAGCACAGGACGAACACCAGGGAGTAAACGTGAACCAGCCACACGTCCCGCCGGCCCTGAACATCCGGCGCCGTCCGAATCGCACGAGCAATCAGCACGTTGCAGGTGATGATGACAGCGGCGGGGCCCAAGAACTGGAAGACCAGGCAGAGGAAACCCACAGAGACAAACCACTCTGTGAAGTTGTGTTCAGGCCACATGTAGCAGCCCGGCTCGTCCCACTCCAGAAGATCCACGTGGACGTTCTCCAGCAGCGCCAGGAACAAGGAGAGCACCCAAAGGCCTCCACAGAGCACCCAGCGGCGACGGCCCAGCACGGGGAAGAAGGCGGGAAACAAGGGTCTGGTGAGGGACAGATAACGCTCCGCGGTCATGAGGGCCAGGAAGAAGGAGCTGCTGTAGAAGTTAACCGCGTAGACGAGGTTGGTCACCTTGCAGAGGAAGCGACCCCACAGCCAGACCTTGTCCATGGTCACCTCCATCATGAAGAACGGCAGGATCACGATCACCATGAGGTCCGACAGGCTCACGTTGAGGATGCAGAACAGGACCCCGTTGGCCGAGTGGCGTCGGCGCCAGTTGACCCAGATGACCAGCACGTTCTCCAGCAGGCCCACCATGAAGATGAAAAGGTAGATGAGGAAGAGGGCGATGCGCCGGTAGTCTCCGACAGAATCCAGGTCGATGGTGCAGTGGATGAACCATAATGTGTCATTATATAAATCCAGCGTGGCGTTGTGCTCGTGAGCACTCATGGTCTGGAGTGAAAAGCAGAGGGAAAACTGTTTCATATAACTGGAAATAGTTCAGGTTTATTCTGGGGTTAATCTGATTATGTTACACAATAGAAGCTCAGGAGGAGGGTGGGAGACGTGCTGGGTTGGAATATTACAAAAAGTAGTTTGAGAGTCGGATATAAAAGCCTAAACATATGAGAATAAGCAAAAAACGACAAATGGAAGTTATAAATGTCTCACTTTGAGGTGCTGTGAGTAAATATTTGTTTTAGTTTATAAGTTATACTTGATGACTCATTGCACATTTTGTCATTAAAAGGAGCAGTGGGTTGGATTTGGCGACATCTGGTGTTTTGGTTGCAGATTTCAGCCGAACTGAATAAAGGCTAATCCGTCCCTTTGAGAGACCGTTGTATCTTTCACCAACTTTACCTAGTATAAAGGCCATCCCAGACATAGCAATATTTTAAAAGCAATACATCTCAGGAGGCGACTGGTGTTACCGCAGCTTTACAAGCATGTCGGAGAACAACTTCAGGTAGCATTAAAGCGTGAAATACACTGTCTAGAGAGCATTTGATTTGTCCTTTCTAAACCAATGTAGGAACATGGTGGTGCAACATGTATTCAGACTCCATGATGAGGACCCTTTCCCCTGTCTTTATATTATACACTAATATAAACATATTTCTGTATATTTTATTACATTTCTGCGTATTGTTCCCCGAAATACTGCACGATGGCCCTTTAAAGAGTAGACTACTGCATATATTTAGGATTACTGTTGTACTCACAAAGGACTGAATATCAAGAAATGTTTTATTACTTTAGTATACATGCATTTCTCTCTAAGAAAAACATGACGCCTACATTACCCATAATGCCACTAAAAGTCTGATTTCTAGATGGAAACCCTCGACTTGCAAAACTCTTGCAAGATATGTAGGCTTGAATAGCTAAAGTTAGACTTTGACCTCGAATGGATAGGCTTTCCATTTTATTTAGAAATGTATGGTGGAAAAGGTTGTTACATCACAAACAAATATATTATTGTACCTTGTTGTGAAGAGCCGCGTTGTGTAGATGAAGAGGGTTAGGGTCCCTCCTGAGGCCTCGCTGTGTTTCTGAGTGAAGCCTGAAGCCACCAGGTGACTCCTTCCAGCTCTGATGTTAACGGATATCTGAGCAATCAAGCAGCAGGAGCTTCTACCCACCCATTTCTCATTAACACACACACACACACACACACACACACACACACACACCACACACACACACACACACACACCACACACACACACACACACACACACACACACACACACACACACACTGACACACACATGACAGCAGGACATCCTCAGTTGGTAATGGGGAGTGGTGTAGAAATCCAGGAACGCCTACACAGGTTTTATGCAATATAAACATGTGTTTCAAAATGTATATTAAACACTCATGTGAGAATAGGACATAGAAACTTGGGTGTTGCCATTTTCTGCTGTTTCTCGTCACTATTTAATTGAATTCCTTTATTCAAATGTACAAGCTGTAAATTATTTCGTTCTTAATTTTACTGCTCATAAGTAAAAAAAATATTAAATAGAAAAGCATTATTTTGAATTTATTGTCGTATAATAGATTGATTGTTAAATCATTTTCAAATAAATGTTATTTGCTGCCTATATATGCCACATAAACCATATTATTAGATTAATTATGAAAACTTGTGTCACTCCGGTGGATTTCTACCCTCAAGAAAAAGGAAGTAGAAATCTAGCTCAGAATTAATTAATACCAGAAAACAGATTTTACAAAAATACATCTGACAGTATGATGAGAAAAAGAAAGACTATTGCATTATTTTTTTTCCTGCAGCCACATGAGATCTCATATTTCAATGTGAGACAATCATTAAATTAAATGATGAACAAAAAAAAAATAATAGGCAACTATTTTTATAATAGATAGATTGTTTAATAATTTTCATATAAATGTAATTTGCCGCCAATATATGCCACATAAACAATATTATTAGATTATTAAGAAAACTTATAGTTGTGTCACTCTGGTGAATGTTTACTCTTGGAATAATAGAAGAACAAACAAATAAAGTAGAAATTAATTAATACCAGAAATCTTATTTTACATAAGACATCTGACAGTATCATGGAGAAAAAGTAACCTATTGTATTATTTTGATACCAGCCTGCAGCGACATGATTCAAAGGTTTTAGGATTCAAAGATGTTATTGTCATATGCACAAAGTGTAGAAATGGCAATGAAATTATTCTGACCTGAGCTCCTCCAACAATGCAACATATATAATAAAATAAAAATAAATAAAAAAGTAGTGCAAAATTAGATCTCATATCTACTCTTCCCTGTCTCTCGCCTCCCTACAGTCGGTCAGAGACCGCCTGCTGAGCCACGTGTGTCCTCAGAGCCTGACGTGTGGGGTTGTGTCGCCTCCCGCAGCTCTCCCTGTGCCCTCTGCTTCGTGCAATGCTGCATGCTGGACAGACACATGGCGGCGCACGCAGAGGAGGCGGCGGCGGCGAAAGAGCGGGAGCGTCTGGCGCTGAGGGCGTTCAGAGTCGGGTCAAACGGGGATGGGGATGGAGGTTCGGCAGGAGTGGAGGAGCTGCACTGCTTCCTGCCCGCAGTCTTTCCGCTCCACCTCTGCCTTCCAGTACCACCTCGGCTTGCACAGCACTGAGGCCCTTGGTGGAGGAGGTGGGGTCCCGCGCCACTTCCACCTCTCAGCGTGAGGTTGTGAAAATGAGCAACCTGGGTTTGGGGATGGATGAGCTTCAGCTTGCCAGGTAAGTTTTTCGAGGTTCCATCCACAGCCTGCCCGGGGGTCCTGACCAACGGGAGCGCGGGGCAGGACATGGGGGTCGGGCAGCGGGGGTCCGTGGGAAATGGTACCGGTGTCGCTACTGTGGCAAACGCTTCGCACACTCGGGGAAATTCACCTACCACCTCCGCATCCACACAGGAGAGAAACTCTACCAGTTTAAAGTGTGCCTGCGCTTCTTCAGAGGCCGCTCCACCATGATCTGCCACCGGAAGACGCACGCCGGCGCGCTCAAGTACCGCACCGTCTGCGGACTCTTCTTCTCCACGCTGAAGATGGTGGCGTCGCACATGGAGCTGCACAAGGACCACCTGCCTCTGGACTTCAACTTTGAGCAGACCTTCATGTACAACCAGGGCCGGCCTTAGACTTTTGGGGGCCCTAATCGAGGTTTGGCTTGGGGGCCCCCCTCACTCTTGCGCGTTCTCACTACACACAACACAGAACCAACTTTTGTCTTATGATGTTAGCATAAGCACACATATTGTATAAATAAGCATGCAAACACTGTGGACCTAACCTCCTCTAGGGGGGTCCGGGGGCATGCTCCCCGGGGAGATTTATTTCTAAATATTGAAGTTAAAAGCATCAATCTGGTGCACTTTGATAGCACAATTAAGAGATCTATGGATACATCTCGCAACACCTATATGAAACAGAACTGTAAACAGATTTTTATTTATGGATATTTTACAAATCACTCCCCTTTTAAACTGTATTCTTGTTTTGTCATATAGTATTTCATAACTGTTTTTCATTTATTCTCTCTGGCTGTCCATCTCATAATGTTCACATAGAAACTAGCTGTCAAAAGGAATATCATTCTGAAGAATTATAATTTCTTGCAAAAATCTGTCACAAAAAGAGGTTGCACATTTAAATTCAGGTGTTGTTATGGCAACGTCAGTGGCCAAACAGCCACATTTACTGCTGCAAATACGTTCAAACATGCTGTCGACACGTAAAACAGTGGCAACTATGCCACCATTTCAGCTGACTTTTTGTCAGAAATACTGTCCCATAACATCCACATATTTCAGCGCTAGGTTGATGCTTAGCTAAGCTAACTATAGCCGCTTTCACACCAAGTACTTTGCCGTACTTAGTGCCGCACTTAGTGCCCCGGCACTTAGTACATGAACTAAGTAAGTACAGATCGCGTTCACACTGGAATAAGTTCCCTGAGGGAACAAATGAGCCGCTGACGTCACTTCGTCTTCTTCTGCTTTGGGTTTATTGGCAGGCCGCAAACAACTTCACGGCGTATACTGCCACGCGAAGTTCCCTGCCGGAAGCCCCCGGAGTTGGGGACTGGCCATTGGCGGGGCTTCAGGGGGGGTTGTAGGGGCAGGGCTCCCCGGGCCCGGGACGGTCGGGACCCAATGGGGGCCCGTCGCCGAGGCAGCAGGCTCCGCCCCCGAGATATTCGCCGGCGGGCCCTGCTGCCTCGCGCCACTGAGTGCACTGACGTTCGTGGTCATATTAGGTATAAAGCATTGTAGCCTATAATAGGAGTTGAACTTGTGCTGCTATTTTCACACTCACATTTAACATTAAAACATGAAAAATTGCAAGTAAATCCTTTCTATTGTCTCCAAATGTATTTTGGGTAAAATCGTCATCAACAGCCGTCCATCAACATCATACGTAAATGAACGTCAACAACATCATCAATCACTTGTCATTCAACAGAGCACTGATCAGTTATAAACACAAAAGTGGATCTACAAAACACAAAGAAAAAGATACAAAGGAGGACCAAGGAAAAGCGAAATTGTCCAAGCTAGATGGATATATTTTTCGCCCTACTCCTCCTCCTGCGGGAGATGAACCTGAAGTTGTTGCCACTGCCAGCCGTGTTTCATCCCGAGCCCCAGCCCGCCAACAACGATAGTGGAGGTTAGCCAGATTTACAGGTAGGCTACAATCACGGACACACACTGTCAACAAGAAAATGTGAGTTTGTGGTAAATGTTGATATCATATGGTTGTTGTTACTTCGTGTAGCTCGGCCGCCTAGCTTATTTCCTTTTCTGTCTCTCGGCTGTAGTGATGATGATAATAGGGACGACTCAGCAGCTGCTAGCTGCTCGTCTAGAGGAGAGCCAGGCCTGACGCTTGACCAGCCGCACCCCTCCCCCTCCGGCTCCTTACCTGCTGCGCCGCAAGGTGAAGAAGTACCGGACACTGGGAATGAAAGCAGCAACAGGTCTCCTCCTCACGCTACGCCTACGGGTGAAACTCAGACCACGGATCATGATGTGTCCTGCAATTATCCTCTGGAGCGTTTTCCGACTGATCGGGCAAACTATTTTGAAAACATTGAGGACGCCAATATCAAAAGATATATCCTTAAAATGGGCCCATGCAAACCCAAAGGTCCATTTCCCAAAGACAAGGATAACCGTTGCTTTTCAGAAAGCTATTACACCTCCACCACTAAAGTTGGGATGAAATTTCCACGCAGCTGGATGTGCTATTCCCCAAAATTGGACTGCTGCTACTGTGAGCCTTGCTGGCTTTTTTCTACAACAATGCATGGGTAAACGGAATAAAAGACTGGAAACATCTTTCTACTAAAATTGAGAGGCATGAATCCACTCAAATACACCTTGGTGCATGCGTAGTATATGAGCAGTGGAAAACCAATGGCACAATAGACGCTGACATGGAGAGGAATGTGCGTAATGCCGCCCAATTTTGGAGACAGGTCGTGGAGCGCATTGTTAATGTAACTCTCACTCAAGCTTCAAGCAACTTGGCATTCAGGGGCCATCGAGAGGTTCTAGGTCAGGGAAAAGCACGCAACTTTTTGTCAATAATAGAATTATTGGCTCGCTACGACCCTGTTTTGAAAGAGCTAATCAACCGACCAGAAGGGTCAGTGAAATACCTCAGTCACCAGATTCAAGATGAGATTATTTACATATTATCTCAACGTGTGAAAGCTGACATCATTGATGAAATAAACGAAGCCCCATTTTATTCCGTTATCATGGACACAACGCAAGATGTGTCAAAGATAGAGTTGAGTCAGGTTTACCGTTACATAACTGTTGTTAAGAACGACATGGATATTGCAACAGATATACAGATCAATGAAGTCTTTTTGGGTTTTGAAGTGACTGAAGGTTCATCAGCTTCAGAGCTTGAAAACAAAATCCTTGGTTCTATAGAGAAAAACGGATTAGATCTGTCTAAATGTCGCGGACAGAGCTATGATGGGGCGGCTAATATGAGTGGTGTGTATTCAGGCGTGTAAGCAAGAATAGCCGAGAAGGAGCCCCTTGCCCACTATGTTCATTGCGCTGCTCATAATCTCAACCTAGCACTCAACGACTCTGTTAAACATTTCCCTGGAGTGAAGCAGTTCTATGACACTGTAGAGACGCTCTACAACTTTTTTGGTCACAGTATCAAACGATGGGCATTGCTCAGTGAGTTAATGACGCCAGAGAGCAGAACTATCACATTAAAACGCTTATGTCCCACTCGCTGGTCATCTCGCCATGATGCACGTTTTGCGTTAAGGCACAGATATGGAGACATCATAAAAGCCCTCGTCAAAATATCCCTTACCAGTGACAAAAAGGATGAGCGCAATGAAGCAAGTGCACTCAAGAATGCCATAAGCAAATTTCGCTTTCTATTTTTGGTCAACATGCAGACCAAGATTTTGGAAAGCATAAATTGTGCTTCACAGTTACTGCAAGCAAATGACGCGGATATTCTTAAAGCATCTACTCTACTGCAAAATGCCATCAGTGTTTTGGTGGAGTATAGGGGACAATTTGATGAGGCGAAGTCCGCCACTCTTGCCCTGGCTACTAAATGGGGAAGTCAAACACAGTTTGAAACAACCAGGGCCAGGAAAGTTAAGAGACACTTCGATGAACTTTCTGAAATCGCCTCACTGACGCAGAGAGCAACTTTCGGGTGACCGTTTTCAATGCATGTCTCGATATAAGATAACACTTTACAATAAGGTACACAAAATGTGCTTAGTTACTGAGGAACTACTAGATAGTTAATGGTTAGTTAATGAGTAGTTCCTCAGTGACTACGATTGAGGAACTGATGGTTAGTTACTGGTAAACAGACTGGGGGGTACTGTATTAACGAATCATTCGTTAATGGTTACTTAATGAGAAGTTCCTGGGAGACTTTGAATGAAGCAATGGTCCCCTGCAGCAGGACACATTTAAACCTGCCATCTTCGGCTGGCTTGGGTCCCACCCTGGATCAACTGGTGGAGGTGGATCCGATTTACCTTACCATTACTTAGGCCGTTTGGGTACGTAAACTCAAGGAACGCAAACAAAAACAGTAGTTACCCATTACCTAATGATTACCTTACCGTTACTAAAACAGTAGTTACCCATTAAGTAATGCTTACCTTACCATTCGTTAAGCAATGTGTGTCCCCTCAAGTAAAGTAATGCATGAAAAACAGTAGTTACCCATTACCTAATGCCTATTTAACCATTCGTTAAGCATTGTGTGTCCCCTCAAGTAAAGTAATGCATGAATAAGAGTAGTTACCCATTACCTAATGCCTACTTAACCATTCGTTAAGCATTGTGTGTCCCCTCAAGTAAAGTAATGCATGAAAAAGAGTAGTTACCCATTACCTAATGCCTACTTAACCATTCGTTAAGCATTGTGTGTCCCCTCAAGTAAAGTAATGCATCAAAAACAGTAGTTACCCATTACCTAATGCCTACTTAACCATTCGTTAAGCAGTGTGTGTCCCCTCAAGTAAAGTAATGCATCAAAAACAGTAGTTATCCATTACCTAATGCCTACTTAACCATTCGTTAAGCATTGTGTGTCCCCTCAAGTAAAGTAATGCATCAAAAACAGTAGTTACCCATTACCTAATGCCTACTTAACCATTCGTTAAGCAGTGTGTGTCCCCTCAAGTAAAGTAATGCATCAAAAACAGTAGTTACCCATTACCTAATGATTACCTTACCGTTACCAAAACAGTAGTTACCCATTAACTAATGATTACTTCACCATTAGTTAAGCAGTTTAACAAACAAACAAACACTGTTGATGACAATGACGGATCTACAGCCACTGAAGTTTTACATTTTTATTCAAACAACGATGAACATAACAACAACAACAAAAAATGGAAATAAAAAATACTTTTTATAAAAGAAAACTAAAAACAAGTGCAAACCAAAAAAACATCCATTCCTTCCTCACTTCCCCTTTGGATTAATGGATAATAGTCCTCCATTGGTCTTCAAGTCCTGGACCTTCCACTCTAAATGTTGGTCCTTTATGGCAGCTTTACACATCTCCGAGAAACGGAGAAGGGTTTCCCCCTTCTTCAGTGTTCCCCGGATATCTTGGTAGATGCCCGGGTTCACGGCATGCAGTTCTGCAATTCCTGCAGTGTCGGCAATGGTTTTGCGGTCCACTCCTACCGCTCTGTAAGCCACCGTTTTATTATTCCCCTTGTTTACCGCCTCAAGAACACGCTTGTAGCGGCTTATGGCGTCTTCTGGGGTCAGGACTGAAACAGAAAAAAAGACAAATATTTAACTATTTAACAACAGTACTTTGTTGTTGCCTATCCTAATGATGTCTGTAGTGCAGAAATCAGTTTGGATATGGGTTTATTTATTGATAATATTGTTGTACTAGTGTTATATAGTGGTAGTGTAATCCTTACATACAAAATTGTGTAATGAATTGGTGTAGTGTAAAGGTATTACTAGTCGTGTAGCTTTGCTCAAAGTAATGTATGTATACATGTTAGTTATTGTGTTTGGGGTGTGTACCTTTATATACAGAAGTTAGGTTTGGGCAATCAGCTCTACTTTTATCCAATCATGTTTAATAATGATAACTGATAAGACGATCCACAATGTGGATTTAACGCTCTATCGACATTGCCCCGTTTCTAATTTATAACGCATCAATATTGCCAAGTTTTAGCCTGGCATCCTCATGTCTCAGCAGCCTTTAAATGGAACAGTTTAGAGAATCTGCTCTCCCTGTTCTTTTATTAAAATCTGACACTGCAGGTTAATGTAAGCGTGCAGAGACCAGTTGTTTGGAAACACTGGTGTCGCTCTGAACAGAGCGACATCACAGCATGTTCTGTTTAACATTATAGGCCTACTTATATTCAGGGATGCAAACACCCGTATGGTGAAATAAGAGAGAACTATTAGAAACAGAAAAAACAGCGTAATATACCATCTGACAAAGGCCTGCGCTATAATGCGTAAATTAACTGGCTATTCTTTATAATATACGGATAGGAGACAGAGATGTTAAGTTACAAATAAAGGGTTTTTATTACTATTTAGATCAGGGGTGGGGAACTTTTTCTCTCAAGGGCCATTTCAATTTTTACAACTTTCTCCAAGGGCCGTACAAATTATTGAACTCAATTTCTGCTTAAAAATTCTAAAATCACAGCCCATTCATTTCACCTTTCTTTCATGCTGTGCAAAGAAAAAGCAACCTCTTAATCCAGATATTTTACCATGACTCGCGCATGCATGCATACACGGTTGTGGCATGACCACCAAAACAGAAAGATATGGACACAAGATGTGTGCAAATTTGTTTTTAAATGTTGAAGTTAAAAGCATCAATCTGGTGCACTTTGAGCAAAATGAAGAGATCTATGGATACATCTCCAGGGTTGGGAGGGTTACTTTGTAAATGTAATCAGTTACTGATTACATGGCTCTGAAAGTAATCCGAATACAGTTACAGTTACGTGTCTTAAAAAAGTAACGTAATCAGATTACTTTTAGATTACTTTTGGATTACTTTCTTTTTCCATCACAGATGGATGTTTTGGTGAACAGGAGACACAAAAAGCAAAAGGACACTGAATGTGTTTTTACTGTTTTAATGGCTTATCAAGAGTGAACTGAAACATAACATCTGAAACGATGTAACAACATAATTAACTTTTTGGGGATGCAGATTGGGATGTGAGGAGTGAGGGACACGGCTTAGAACGAGCGTGTCGCCTTCTGTCCTGCCAGTGTTGGCAGGACATGAATTAAAATGTCAAACTCGGACTTCATTTTAAGGACATTACGGCCAGGGGTGTAGAGCTATATTTGTTTAAGCACCGGATTGGCAAAACAGGAGAGTGTGTGCACCAGTCTGCCTTGATCTATGCATTCATGTCCGTGACACTCACAGTATCTGCTGCCCACAGCTGTTTTATAGAAGGAACACCTCCTTCACTTCATGAAATCTCTGCAGCGCCAGGAGGCAGCCTCTGAGAAGAGGAGCGCGCAGTGCCTTTCACGCACCGCCTTCACTGTGTTTACCTTCAGAAATAATCATTAGTAAGGCTAAAGAAAGAGCGACCGCAGGCTGATGTGTTTTAACCACACACACGCGATTTAAACGCAGACTTTTGTTCCTCCATGTTTCGCTGTTATTGTTTCACTGAGCGGACCCGCAATTTTTTTTCAAACGCTTTTTTGGTCCATCTGCGGCGGTAATAGGTTTTGTGGGCTTTGATGATTCGGCTGTACCTTTAGTAATGAATATTAAATGTTGTGAGGAAATCTTTCCACCAATAATTCCAATAAGTAATCCAAAATGTATTCACTTCAGGTTTACGAAAGTAACTGTAATCAGATTACTCGTTTTTCAAATGTAACGCGAGCTGAATACAGTTACTTGATTTTTGTATTCTGATTACGTAACGCCGTTACATGTATTCCGTTACAACCCAACCCTGTACATCTCTCAACACCCATATGAAACAGAACTGTAAGCAGATTACTCTTTTTCTTTATGGATATTTTACAAATCACTCCCCTTTTAAACTGTATTCTTGTTATTTTAAAAAACATTTTTGTTACTGTCAAAGTATTTTATACCTGGTTACCAAAACTACAACTCTTCGCTTCTCCACGAATTACACAAGTCACCCAAATCAGCGTCAAGGTTAGCCTGTTTTTAACGCAAAAAACAATGCTGTGTTTTGAATATCGGGGCCTTAACACCAGGTACCTCCTACTCAAAATTCCCAGCATCCGTTGAGCAAAAATGGCTGCAGAACCCAGGGGGAGGATGCTCAGAGTACATAGCCCGAATTACACCTCTTTTCCCATGTCCTACGTATCCTGCACAACACAAAAGTGAAAAATCTGATCTATAGAAGGCTGTAAATGTAATAATACATTTGATTTCGATCATTTGTATGTATAATGTTATGAATGATCTGCTATCTTCAATACTATGGTTAAGTGATATTTAAATTAAACTTAAACAAATCTATATACAGGCTGTCACCATATTTTGGAATTGTGAAAAGACTGGCAAGCCACTTCCCTTAGGAGCTTTACAGTTACCTGGATTTTATTCCACCAGCCCTGCAGATATTACACTAGCTTACAAACCTCAATAGGCATGATTCCTAAAATCCCTAAATCTGTTGATTTTTTTTCACACATCTTAGTCCTTCTTCTTAAAGTCCTTAAAGTTTTAGTTTAAAATAGAGATACTTTTTAAATATTGTTCTATAATGATTAAATGTCAGTGAATAACAAAATGTTTAATTATATAACTTTTACATCTCATTTAATGTAATGTATTATTATTATTATTATGTAACACGTGGGTCCTCGTGGTTTAGCTAGCAACCTCAAATCAGATAGCACAGAACAAAAAGTGTAATAACATGTGTCAATTGAGATGATTTCGCGATGCAGTGTTACTGATTTCTCAAATGACAAAAATAAATTTCAATTCATACTTACATTCTGACACTAAACGCTTAGGGGGCCCCATCCTCTTTCGCTTGCTTCTCCTCGAGTCCATTTTCAGTTCTAAGCGTGTAGACTAGACTAGAGCATAGACTGTACATAAATGTAGAGGTTGAGTTTTATCACTAGCCAAGATGCACGTGACAGGCTCATGGCCAATCGTAGCACTTGAATGCTATGAAGGAGCGTGTCTTGCATAGTGCTCCAGCCGGATCCCGATTTGCAGCGCATTAACACTTTATTACGGTTTTAATATTTTAATTGTATATCAGTGAATATAAAGAAGCTGTGCTTTGTCAATTGAACAAGGAAGATGAAATACCTGATTCAAAACATCAAAACTATTGGTTTGAATCGTGTGAACAAGAAATGAGGATCAGGGTGCTAGGGCGCTAGTGCGCTCAGCGGAGTTCGCTGTGCTTCCACTTGCGGTCTGGCCCAGCGGCAGCACATTTTGAACTACGCTGGGTGTTAGGTTTTGTGGACGGGCTGGGGCCGCAGTAACGCAGTAGTAACGCCGCAGTAGTCAGGTTTTAGGTTATCATGACACTGCACACCAAAGTACTCAGTCTTATTGACGGAAGACAGACTTTTAAAAAAAAAGAAAAAATTAATTGAATGGCTAATGAAAAAGGAATTGCTTCAAGGAAAAATGAAATGCAAACTCTGCAAAAAGAGGATGAAACTGGAGAAACACTCAAACGTCGACGGACTGCAGTGGTAGGCTAAGTCGTACATTTTTAGCACGGGTTTTAACGATGACTTCCTCTGTTTACTGATATGTAATGTTACAAAGACAAGTTCTTTATCAGGAAAAAAGGACTAGGAATTTACGATTTGTCTTTTGTAGGAAGTGCCGACGTAAAAAACACCGAGGGAAAACGACGAAGAAGTCAGTGAGGTCTTTGTCCCTGTTTCAGAGGAGCAAATTGTCCTTGTTCAGCTGGATGAAATACATTTACAGGTAATATTAATTCATCAATAATATCAGTCATTTCCTCAAAGCACAGCAAATGAATGCCTGTAAGTATTACGTTTATTTTAAGCATGTTGACTGTTGTTTAACATTACCGATATCTAAATGCTAATTTCAGTTAGCGCGTCAATGACGTTATCCATTATATGTTAGCATTGAGCTAGCGGACTAAGCGCTAGTTATTTGGCAATTCACAACGCAGGCTGCTTGGAGGTGTGGCGGGGCACAATGGCGCCGCTTTCACACCAAGCCCCCAGGAAGTGCGCCGGACTCTGAGGAGAACATTCGAGAGTTATTTCCCTCGGCAGTATGAACGCGCATCCAACCCACGGGACCGCGCCGCCCGCCCGGCACCTTCATGTTACGTGTTCTGTACTACATGCGTTTTACCCTTAACCATAGACTGTATATATAAAGGTTTTACCTTTACCCATGGATGCACAATAAGAACGGACCCGTATCGCCTTACCGTTCGGGTGTTCAGAGCAGAGCTCCCTGTTGGAGCGGCAGAGCGTGATGTGAACAGAAAAATGTTTCTGTCGCAATATTATTTAAGGAATCGTTGAGCTAGCTAACTAGCATACATTGTCACTATCTGCTAACATTAGCTTTAGCTTTCGTTTTCTAATAGTTTTTCTCATAGGCTATAAACAGAATAGATCTTGTACTTGAGTAAAAGTAGAAGTACTCAGATATTGTACTTGAGTAAAACAGAAGTACTCAGATATTGCACTTGACTATAAGTACTCAGATCTTGTATTAGAGTAAAAGTAGAAGTACCAGAGT